CTTTTTTATTTTTGTGCGTGATTTTGGGGGGAAAAAAACATTTATTAAAACATGTAATTTTTTTTGTTGTTGCAAGTTTTGCCAAATAGATCATTTGAACAAGATTCCGAACCTAATTAGAATGAAAGAAAGGTTAAGGATTTTTTTTTGAAAGGCAAAAGGTAAAAGAATTTATTAATATTGAGTAAAATGGATACTCAACCCATACATTAACCTTACATTGTGAGATTAAGGATGGTTAAGGATGCAATTGAATGATGCTTAAAAATCAAGGGGCATCAGTGCAAACACCATTTCTCTAATCATCCTTTGTAATCTATATATATGTAGTACCCTGTTTTCTGAGGACCATATTTCTTTCTTCTTTTAAACTTTCCCTGGCTATTATTTCTGTTTTGTTTTACTGCATATCAGAGAGAGGCTTTCAAGTTTCCTTTCTATGAAGAAGACATAAAGTGCATAAATCCAAATCAATCACCATGTTGGTCCACAAATTGGTAAAGATGGTGAAAAATAAATGTATTTAGGAATATGTACCCATCAAATAGTTGTAAAATTAACAAAGCAAGATTGGGGCAAAAGAAAGGAAACAACGGTGACAGAAAATATAAAACTTTTTTATAACATAAAAGGGTAAAGAGAACAAAGAGGAATATGAAGCCTTCTAATTAATTATATCTCAAGGACGGCAACCCATGTGACAGACATCAAACTTTCCAATACCTATATATAGCTATATCTTTTTTCCTTTTTGGTCAAACTAATACCCCTGTATGTTTACTCCCAAAACTTACTGTATTACGAATTCTTTTTTGTTTTTTCACTACTCGGTGACAACAAGGTACGCTGGTGATGTTTAATTTCACTAATGTGATCACTTAAAATGCTAGATGGTCACACATACGACATTGTTAAAGTAAAATTAATGATTACCAGCATGGTTAACAATGTTAAATTTTTGTGAAAATAAATAAAATTTTCTGTATAAACTACATCGGTGAAAGCAATAAACACCAACATGACATATGTTGGTGAGTTATTCTGGCTGTTTA